TCAGCACTTAGTATTGTCAGTATTTGGAATTTTAGCCTTTGTGTTTAGGTGTTTCTCTTTGTGGTTATAATTATATTTTCTTGACAACTATATTTAGCACCTGCTTGTATGCTTAATGACATGCGTATATCTTTTTTTTTAAAAAAAATTGAAATGCCTACTCAAATCTTTTATATATTTTCCTACTTTTTGTTCTTGTTTGTTGCCGTCGAGTCAAAACTGACCCATAAAGACCCTCCAGCAGGTTTTCAGAGACAGGAAATTGCATAGAAAGAGATTGTCCATCCTTCTGTAGAGCAGCTGGTGGGTTTGAACCACATGCCTTTGGGGTTACAGCACAGCTTCTTAGGAGGCCACCTCCTACTAGATTGTCTTTTTCTTTTTCACTTATGGAAATTCTTACTATGTTCTGGATACGAATCCTTTATTAGATATGTGTATCACAAACATAGCTTCTGTTTGGATTGGACTTTTTGCTCTTTAGTGGCTCTTTTAATAGAAAGAAACTTGCCATTTCAACAGACTTGAGCATTAGCGACAGCAAAGTGTGTGTGGGTGAGTCCAGGGTGCCTGTTGCTAAGGGCCTATACTGCCAACCCAAAGGTGCAGGGTTCGAATCCCTAACTTTTCCATGGGAAAAAGATGAGCAGTCTTCTTTTGTGTGATTCATAGCTTCTAAAAATCCAATGGAGCATCAACCATGAGTAGATTCTGACTCTACAGTACATAATAACAGCAGCAATGCTAATGATCTATTTATTATCTAGGTGGTGGTTGCACAAATGTGCTGACTCTGTGAAATTTTAATGAGCTGTTTCATGCATTTAAAAAAATTTTGTCTGCACACAATATTTAAGTAAAGATTTTTAAAGGCAAGAAACTTATCTTATTATTCTTTCCTTTATTTCTCTTTCACCTGGTAAAGCCTGTAAATCGTACAGGAGGAGACTGCTCATTTCCTCCCTCAGAGAAGCTGGCGGATTTGAACCATATGCCCTCAGGTTCACAGAGCAACTCCTTACCACGAGGCCATCAGAACTCCCTAATAATCTTATTTCTATTATGTAAATTATTTTTTATACCAATATGAAGGATATTATTTTTAAAAAAATTATTTCCAAATTATTTTCTGCTAGCCTGTAGAAATAAAGTGAATTTTGTGTATTTACATTTTACTCAATGGTCTTTCTTATTTTACTTTTAACAGTCTATGATTTTATTGGGCTTTATACCTGTAACAAGCTAATTTATAATCTAGAAATGAAAATTTTTCTTATTCCTTGCTGCTACTTAAAACTTCAATTTATTCCCCCTACGTTTATTTCACTACGTATTACTTCTATACAATGTTGACTTTTTTTTTTTGGTCTGCTTTGTGATATGTTGTTTTGATATAGGAAACATTTTAAATGTCTCTCCATGAAATATGATATTTTTTTCTCAACATTTTTTGTGTGTGAATTTTCAGATTAAGGAAATTCACTTATTTTTCCTAGTTTGCCATTATTTTTAAAATGAGTATTAAATGTTATGAAATTCTGTTTTTCTACTGAAATAATAAAATGATTTTCTAAATTTATACTGTTGATATAGTGAATGATGGTAAAGTTTATGTGGTAAATTGCATTGCTTGATTTTTTTGTCTTTTTATATTAAGCAAATCTTGAATTCCTGGAGTAAACCTAACCTGGTCTCATTATCTTATCTTTTTATTACTGTTTAGAATGGATATTGTTTGAGATTTTCTTGCCTTCATGTTTTGGAGAGGAATTGACTTGCATTTTTCCTCTTCTTGTCATTTTCTTTTCATGTCTAAATATTAAGGTTTGGTAGAATGAGCTGGGAGGTCAACTCTCTTTTTACGTTACTTGGATGAGTTTGTGTGGGATCAATAGCTTAAATGTTTGGAGAAATTAATCTCAGCCTAGTATATTTTAACTGGAAGTGTACTAAAGTTTAATTACAGATTGAGTTTATTTAATAGATGCCGAAGTGAAAATTCATACTTTCTAATTCTTACGACAATTATGATGATTTGTGTTTTTTCCAAAAGAGATGATGCGCTTCATGTATTTCAAGTTTAGTGAAGTTCATAATACTTTTTTGTAATATTTTTAATGCTTGTATTATGTGTTGTGATCACATTTCTCTTGATAGTCATAATGTCTAGGTGGAAGGTTTCATGAAATGTTGGAAAGGACTTTCCTAACAAGTTGTTTGTTATGGTTTTTTATTCCTAACAAGTTTTGAACATAAAGTCTGCATGCACTTTCCCCCATGCAAATTTAAATTCAATTTTGTCATTAAATTTATTAATGAGGTAATAGTGTATAGAAATTAGCTACTTTAAGAGATTATATTTTATCTTGTAACTTGTTATCTTGACACAATCTTACCTACTATAATAATAGGGACTACACTTGATTTATTTCTGTGTTTATTTCCTGGTTCTTTGAGGTTTTTTTAAAAAAAATTTATAATCACCCTTCTGAGCCCTATTCTTTTAAAATATCTTGGTTTTGTATGAAATTTATAGTTGAGCTTTGTTTTCTCATACAATCTGAGGTTTTGTTTCTGTCTTTCCTTCTCTTTTGTAGGTGAGTTGACCCTTGCATTTTATCGATATCACAGAGATATTTGGTCTTAAAACTATTATTGTGTTTAGATACTTTTTTGGCTTTGTTTTCATCTTTAGGTACTTTCGTTTTTGTTCTCTGGAGTCAATTTTCCATTGAAACTCATCCTTCTGGGTATTTGAAGGAATTATAACTTGGTTTTTGTGCCTAGAAGGGCATAATGCCTTATTTCATAGTCGGCTATTGCCATCAGACTTTGAGGAAAGACTATACATTTCATTTTGCACTGGATCCTGTGAATTATGCAGATGGTTTTGTAGACCCCAGTACTTTCTTTTTTTTTAAATTTTATTTATTTATTTTATGTGTGTACCATCAAATTGGATCTGACTGGTACAGGAGGCGATTGTTCCTCCTCCTTCAGCAGAGCATCTGGTGGATTTGAACTGCGCACCTCTGGGATTGCAGTGCAGTTTCCTGCCACTAGGCCACCAGAGCTCGCCAGACCCCAGTACTTTCAACTAGCTTTAGGGAAGGGAAATTTGGATGTATTTATAGTTACCTTTATTTCAGTGATGAGGAAGTTTGGGGGATATTCACAGTTAATTTTTGGCTTCCATTATTGCAGGCATCCACTTTGTCTTTTAGAGCTGTGTTTGTTTTCCACTAGACTATAAATTCTTAGAGGGCCTGATGCCCAGAACAACACTTCTCCTGAGCGATCTTGTTTTAACTTCCCCCATAGAGCTACAGTCCTCGTTCATCTCATTACAACTCAGAGTAGTGAGAAGACAATAAACACCCCCAGCCTCAGCTGTCAGGACAGAAGGACGGAGGTGTGTGTTTTGTGGTCGTGAGGAGTGTGGCTTGAGATCCTTGTTTCTTCCTCATCCTTTGCTTGTGTACCCTTCATAAGGCAGATTGGACAAATCTCACAACATTCAAGTTAACTGCACAGTCACTAAGGAAATGCTACAGTTATATTCTGGGTTAGTCTTATTCTCAGTAAGCAGATTTCAACATTCATTCCTCCGGGGAAGCAGATATAGAAGCACCCCATTTTATCAGTTTCAGGGACTCAGAAAGAGGTCCAGTAGGCATGGCTGGGCTTCAGGTGACTCTCATTCACATTTTTAGTACCAACTACATGATATTGGAAGGAGGAGTGGAGTCTACTTCCTAAACAACATGCCTCTGGAAACTATGAACTTTGAGAAACAATAGTTATAGAAAGGCTCAAGGTCTTTCGTTCATAGGGTCGCTATGAGTTGGGCTTGACTCCATGGGAATCAACAATAACAAGAACAGCAGGATTATGATAAGCCCTGGGTTTTCAGGATAAAAGGTAGATGGTCTTAACGGTCCCCCCACCCTACCCCCTGGCCTGTAGTAAATATGCCAAGTAGACTAGAAAGGAGTTGAAGCTTACAGGGACAGTATCTTTCACCCACAGTGAAGTGCTATTTCATGCACAGTGTACGCACTGTATATAGTAGGAGCTCGCATATGTTGTGTGGATGAATGGCATATGTGACATGTGATAGCAGAGTACAAAGAGAGAGGAAAAAAGAATAAAGAGATTGTAAAATTTAAAAATATCCCGCACACCCAACAAAACCATATTGGCCCACTTTATGTTTGAACGAGCAACCAGGAACCTTTATAATCTTGGAGGGCATGAGAGCTTTTCTGGGCTCTCTCCAGTGTTATGATGCCAACGAGTGAGAATGGTGACTCGGGCCCTGGACAATAGGGAAAAAGTCACTTATGACCATGGCATCCCGTTTATAAAGCAGAGACGTATGTTAGACACTTTAAAAAAAGTTTCTACAGAAGCAGACTACCTACCTACCTACCACATTGTTCTCCTGGGGAGCGGCTGATGCGTTTCAACTACTGACCTCTGGTTGGCAGATGAGTGCTTTAACTACAGCACCACCAGGGCTCTTTAGTCCATTAACAAAATGACCTTTTTTTCCCTCTTAAAGCATGCCAAGGGCCTTTACCATCTTGGAACAATCACACCTGAGGTGTAACCCTTTCCCCAATGACATTGAATAAAGAATAATACAATTTGTTTTCTTTTCCCTCCTAAATGATAACTTTAAAATATCATGTTAAATGGATTTTTTTAAAAATTGGAAATGATATGTGTATAAAGAACTCTTTATAGTATACAGCATTGTAACAGTACAGACTACTGTAAGAGCGAGAAGTTTGCATAAGAAAGCTTGCTTTGAGTAACAGCATTTGAAAGCACTATGACCTGTAGAAATAATTTCTGTTTAAAGTGTCATCCAGATATTTGTAAGGAGAAAACTAGGCAACTATTAAAACAATCTAAATTTCATTATTCAACAGCATCGATGCGCTACTTTCTTGTTTTGAGAACCTATCTATTAACAGTGCCATTTTGCCTTACAGCTTTTCTGGGAGAAGAGGCTACAAGGACTTAGTGCATCAGATGTAACAGAACAAATTATAAAAACCATGGAACTACCTAAAGGTCTTCAAGGTATTACCGAAGTTCAGTTGAACAGATACTTGTTCAGTACCTCCAGCGTGTCAGGCAGTCTGAGACGCTGTCGTTGTAGGGTCCACTGAGACAGGCTCTTAGCTCTAGGGGACCATACACCTTGCTGGATGACATCTATCTTGTTCTCGTAAAGCCAGGGCAATGGACGTGCAAAATGTGTGTGCTACAGGGGCGATTGAGTCCAGGATAGGACCTCACATTGTGTTCTGTGTAAAAATGCTGGCTTTGGTTAGGTGCATGATGTTGGTTAACTCATGTCTGCTTTTAGCAACACATTAGGATCAGCTGCAAAATTTCCAAGATTCCCACTTAAAGCAACATCTGGCCCCAGGAATTTACCCTCTCTCACATGTTCTTATCAAAAGAGAACAATTAAAAAAAATAAAAATAAAAAAAAAAAGAGAACAATTATCAGCTCTGCTTCTGCCTCTCCTTCCATGAGGTACTTCTCGAAGTAGCAGTGGGAATAATAGGAAAGTCCAATAATCCAAGCAGCAGGTGGGATCTAGGTGGCAAACTCAGTTGCTGGTCGACCTCTCATGTCATGCATGCCCTCTTTACCACCCAAAGAAAGCATTGCCTTTCATTTATTAAAACTTAAGCTTCTGAATCTTAAGACATTTCGGACTGGCCAAAATGCTTTACTCTTAACTTATGGTTAGAGTATTGTCTCATCCTTTTATGTTCTTGGGAAAATTTACTTTAACTTGTTAAACAAACCCAGGAGTTTAAACATTGAATTGAAATGTGTCTGTGGTTTTGCTGCTCTCCTACGAATAGTCAAAGGGTACAATTAATAATTCCATTAATTTGGATATTCTGTTGTTGCCCACTGCCATTAAGTCAGTTCCGTTAGAAGCTGTTGGATTAATTTCCAATAACATTTAAAAAGCTATTGAAGTCGTAGCTATAACATGCTTGGATTGGGTTTTTCCATGCAACAAAGACATAAGCATTGAAATACTGTTGGAAATTAATTTGAAAATGTGCGAAGAAAGACTGCTTCAGTAACCTTAGAATGCTTTAATAAGGATACTTGAGTTTATTATATTTAAATCAATAAGATAATTGACTTGCTTGAGGAAATGAAGCCAACTTTTTACAAGTTTAGTACATTGGAAAATGTATTTTAACATTATTATCAATCTTCATTAAAATGTTCAGTTATCGCATCCTGTACTGTTAAGTCTTTGCTGCTTTAGACATAAGAAGTGCATATGATAGTGTTTTTTACGGCTTTATCCTGCATCCTTTTTAAATATGTGATCCCAAATGAATTTTAAACAGCTGAGTCGTTTAAGAGTGCATCATATTTGCTCCGTGCATCTATAGATGTCCTTAACTGGTACATATTTCTGATTGCAGGAGTTGGTCCGGGTAGTAACGATGAGACCCTTTTATCTGCTGTTGCCAGTGCTTTGCACACAAGTTCTGCACCAATTACAGGGCAAGTCTCTGCTGCTGTGGAAAAGAACCCCGCTGTTTGGCTCAACACATCTCAACCCCTCTGCAAAGCTTTCATTGTCACCGACGAAGATATTAGGTAAGTCAATCTAGCATAATTTTAAAAACTTTACATCCAAGTGCATCTTATACTGTCCAGTTAGGTTTGGACAGCATCAACTAGAAATCTATACTTTGTTTTCTCAAGACAGCTTTCATGAACAAAGTGGAAGGTGAGGTAGGGCCATTAAAACAGGTGCATGCTGGGAAAGGGCAGAATACTGTGTATCAGACGCTTAATAGGATGAGGTCTAAATGACAGGTGTCATTAGTCAGCTGTGCCTGGTCACAACTCTCTCTTTTCCCGTGACTGTTGCTGTTTGAGACTCCATATTTGCTTCCTCCTTCGGTTTGTCTACAACCCATCTCTCTCTTTAAAGCAGATCATAGCTGTGCTGCTCAGCTGCGTTCATGAAGTTCCATTTACTCATCTTGATTATGTTTACCTGATTTATACTCAATTGAGAGAATTATTTATCTTTACTTTCCTTATCCCAAGTAAAGATTTAGGTGGCTCCAAAGACTGACTCTTTCTTTCTCTCTCTCTCTCTCTCTCTCTTTCTCTTTCACACACACACACACACACACACACACACACAATAGAGCACATAAAAAGCAAAGAAAATGAACCAAGAATAAAGCTGTAAAACAGAGCCAGTTGAAATGTCACAAACTGAGTCTCTAACAGTCTTTATTCTTCCTAAGGTTAAGCTACAAATTAGGATTTTAGGAGCAACTAGAAAAAAAAGTAAATGATCCAAATCAAATTTATGATCTCCAGAAAGTATAAGCAAACTTGCTCAGGAGAAGCACAACTGATAAAATAATTGACTTGCCTCGGTCAACGAAGCCATTTTTTTATAAGAACACCAGAAAAAAATTCTCATATGGAGTTTGTGTGTTATTTACTTTATAGTGCTACTGATGTATACTGTATTTTTATTAAAAATATGTATTTTCATTAAGGATCTTGAGTGGTGTAGTCCATAATAAGCTGCACTGCTAATCAAAATTACGGCTGTTTGTGAACTTCACTATTTCTAGCCTCTAAATGAAGATCAGAAAAGGTTTTACTATGGCATTATTCCCAAACAAAACCAGCAGATGGCACTTTTGAATCATATAAGTTTTAAATACAAGTTTGCATTGTTTTTTTCCCCCAAACCCTATAAAAAATAAGTTGGCATGGAAATGTTTTTAAATGCATAGGTCCAGCTAGGGTTATAATTGGAAACCCCTGCTTTTAAAGTAGCTCCTTTTATAAAGAGAAACCAGTTTCATTTTGTATTCATATGTGCTGATGGCATGACATTTATAATCAGTTTTTTTTTTATGAAAATAAAATATAAAAGAGAAAAGTCAACGTGCTGTTTGGACTTGTGCTTGTCCTTCAGGAAGCAAATGAAGGGAAAGGTCATCAGCAGGAATCCCACCAGCCTTCAGACTATTGACTGAGGCTCTTTAAGCAGTATGAGATTGTTGATGGTTACAACCATCCATCTTTTTTAAGCTGAGAAAACTGTGTCAAGGCTAGGTCTTGATGATTTCCTTTCTGGGAACATTCATCTAACAAAGGGCGCACTGGTGGCCTTGTGGGTAAGGAGTTACACTGTCTGGATGAAGGCAGACTATCAGAGTCCATCAACTGCCCTGTAAGAGAAAGATGAGTAATCTCTTCGGGTGTGATTTACAGCCTTTGAAAACCCTCTGGAGGGTCAGCTATGCATTGGTTCTGACACCATGACAATGAGTTGAAATTTGTTGAGTTCGTCTAATGTAGCAATTTAGCCATTTGATTTAATTATTATGAAAGAGATTCTTAAGCAAACATTTCTTGCTGAATTAGTGGGGGTGTGGTGTTTGGTACTAACAGTGGGCTCCAACTCACGGTAACCCAGCAGACAATAGGATGGAATCTTCATGTATCTGTTTGCCATTTAATATTTTCCTCTGTGAAAATTCTTTCCATGTCTTTTGCCCATTTTGTAATTGGATTATCAGTCTTTTTCTTGTGGAGGCCCAGGAGTAGTCTGTAAACTTTTCTTATAAACTTTTGTTGTAAGACTCTTGTCTGAGATAGTATTACCAAATGTTTGTTCCCAGCAACCATTCTGGAAGGCAGATTGGCACTTCTGCCAAAAGCTGGACATAGAAATTCCATATGACCCGGCTATTTCACTACTTAGGATACACCCTGAGAATAGGAGAACTGAGGCACAAACAGATTTGTACACCAATGTTCTTAGCAGCATTATTTACCATCGCAAGAACATGGAAACAGCCCAAATATCCAACCACAAATGAATGGATTGAGAAATTATGGTGCCTTCACACACATCTTTTAGGAAGGAACTAGACTATTCAGAGCTCTGCTTGGTTCATGCCCATTAGGATAATCTTCCCTTTGATCAATTCACAATTATTAACATAATCTTGGAATGATACATCATCACATTCACAAATTCTATCTATACTTTAGAGGGGAGAGAATAGTCCAAGGAAGGGAAACAAGTCCAAGAACATAAAGGGCTTAGAATTTTTTCAGGGAACTCTGGTGGAAAGATGGATAGCCTCCTGCCATGCGATTTGCAGCTTCTTAAAAACCCACTGGAGGTCAGCTCTGAGTGGCAATGAAATTAATTTTCCCAACCACAGTAGACAAATTCTTTAATTTCAGCTTTCAAAAGTGTAGCAAGGAATGGTCAAGATAAAAAAAAAGTCAACAGAACTCAGGATCCATTTTTCCAACACAAGGTCCATTTCTACCATCTTTCTGTCTGACGAGATGTCTCTGGGGCAGTTGTGCAGATGTTGGTCTCAGGGACTGCCACTGAGACTATTAGTCCCTTTGTCATATACTGAAGTCTCTAAGTCAAAGTCAAGACCATCTGTGCGAGGAATAAATGATAACTTTCTTCTTGATCCCACTCTGTTCAGAAAAAAATATGTTGGGTTCCAGGTTCTTCTGATGTGACAGAAGTGATTCAAAGTGTTATAAAGCAAAGATGGCACCTTGAGGGTTACAATGCACAAGTCCTAAACTGTAGTATTTTCAGTCAGTTCATATGCATGTAAGAGCCGGGTCATGAATAAGGAAGGTGGAAGAAGAATTGATGTCTTTGAACTGTGGCATTGGCAATGGATCTTACGTATACCGCTGATTGCCAGACAACCAACATTTTTGTCTTGGAAGTACAGCCAAAAAGCTTCCCAGAAGAAAGGATGATGTTTATTTACATCTTCTCTTGAATTTCTTCAACCTTTGGCTAGGAATGCTTGCCTAATGCTTATTAGAACTATCATAGGCATCCCTGTGTCCTGCCAGGGAAATACTCTTAAATGTGTTGGGTTTTCAAAAATTTCGAGGTAACTAGAATTTTAGAAAATGTAGAAGTAGCCTTTCCTCTATGTTTTGTTCTCCATCTAAGACCAAATCAGCTAGAGGACAGAGTAAAACTTCCCCATGGGATATCCAAGGCTCTTATCTTCAGAAAAGCAGACTGCTTTGAGTTCGAACCCCCAAACTTCCAGTGAGCAGTCACGTGCCTCATCTCAACACCACCATGACTCCTTGCTGTTCTATCAACAGCTCAGAATGTATTTTTTTTTAACTTTGAGTTAGTAGTGAGACTCACTTTTTGAGGTCCCTTTGCAGTCCCCACAACAGAGATAAACTTTGACACTTGGGCTATGAAATGCTTAGCTTTTCAGCTCATCTTAGTGGAAGAGGTGCAGATCAGTCTCTGATCTCCCTGTCCAGGACCACATGGTCTTGCTTTCTTCACGATGCTGTGTGGTCTGCAGACCTGAGACCCCAGGAGAGTTCCCCCCACTCACATAGCTGTAGACACCAAACTCCAGCCTATTGTAATTCTGTTTCCTTCCCCATTCTCAAAAATTTACGACACAAACCACATTCTCCCTACTTTATTCTCATCCTCCTTCTATCCTGGCTTCTAGAATATTTCTAATCATCCTTTACAAGTATAGCCACAATAACAACACGTCTTCTACTTGAGATTCTGGATGTTGAGGAAAGATCATTGAATTGAATTTCTGCCCACCAGACGGGTGACTGCCTATCTCAACATTCTTTTGGTCAGGCTTGTCTCCTGTGTGACATGGTTTTGTGAGCACCCAGAAGTCTTCTTTGGAAAATCTGAGAAGTCAGTTGTTTTGCCCAGGAAATTAAAACTCCTCTAAAGTAAAGATGAAATTGTAGGAACAACTTCACATTTTTTAAGTGGTGTCTTTTTATTCTCTTTTTGAAAAGGAAACAGGAAGAGCGAGTACAACAAGTACGTAAGAAATTGGAAGAAGCACTGATGGCAGATGGCTTGTCACGAGCTGCTGATACAGAAGCGATGGATCTGGAAATGGACAGTGGAGATGAAGCATAAGAATAGGATCAGGTAAAGTAGAACCATGTGGCGGGGAGAGAGAGGAAGGCAAGGCAAGGCAATGGAAGGGACGAGAGGGAGGGGGAGAGAGAGAAGAGAGAGAGAGATTGATTGAGAATATGAATTGGAGAAAGGAGACAGACTTGTAAGTAAAGATGATTTCTTTCCTGGAACCTGAAGACTCAGGCCTCATCGCTTACCAACCCTGTAAACATGGCAATGTCCTACCTTGTACAAGCTAAGCTGTCCTGCCTATTAATGTAATTAATTAATTAATTATACTGATTAGTGTAATTTGCAAAACGTTTTTTTCCTTGTTATTTCCCTATATGTCCTCCCTGGGCAGTGTGGGTCAAAAGCCTTCCTCTTTGTGTTTCTCTCTCTCTCTTTCTCTCGCTATTTAAGGACCAGGGAAATTATTGAACCTCTTGTTTTTGTTGTGAAAACAGCCACACCCTTGCTGCAAGGGATCTGTTGTTGTTGCTGTGTGCCATCGAGTCAGAACTGACTCACAGCTGATCCTCCAGCGGGTTTACAGAGGTAGTAAATTGCACGGGAGGATGTTACCCATCCTTCTCCCACGGAGCAGCTGGTGGATTCGAGCTGTGTGCCTTTTGGATTGCACCACAGCTTCTTACCACTAGGCCACCAGAGCTCCAGATCTAGTCGTCTCTTTTAGGAAAACCAAGCAGAAAACCTCCAAAGTGTTACTGGATAAAAGTCTGAAAGGAGAAGATGGTGCCAGATAGAAAGGAATGAACTTGATGGTTCCATTAATACACCCAACCCCTAAAGTTTTGGGAATATCTCCTTATAAGTGACATAATGCTAATAATCTCCATGTGAACAGTTTTACTCTCGTTCTAACTTGTGCACAGTTCATACCTGTGCTGTTCCAGGAGGCAGTGATTTTCGAAGTGATAAAATAGCATTTCCCTGACTCACTCCAATTAACCCTATATGACCTCATTGTGTTTAACGAACTAGAGAACCAGCACATAATCAGATGTTCATAATATGCTGTAAAATAGACAGGGCAGCTTGGCTTGAGAAGGTGCCTTCCATAGTGGTTGCACCATTTTACACTCCCACCAACAGTGAATAAGGGTTCCATTTTCTCTGCAAACTCGCCAGCATTTGATGTTTGCTGTTCTGTTAAATTTTGCTATTCTTACTGGGGTAAGATGATATCTCATAGTTGTTTTGATTTGCATCTCTCTTAGAACTAGGGATTTTGAACATTTCTTGTTGACCATCTGAATGTCTTCTTTGATGACGTGTCTGTTCATATTCTGTGCACATTTTTCAGTTGGGTTATTTACCTTTATCTTTGTGTGGTGCTTAAAGTATTTTATAAATTCTAGATATAAGTCCCTTGTCTGACATGTCATTACCAAATATTTTTTTCTAATCTGTGGCTAAATGAAAAAAATCTTAAACACATTGTTTATATTTACATAGTACCATTTGGCCCACATTAAGTCTACCACATAGACATGCTCTGAAGTAAAAGAAAACAAATCTTGGTGAAGCAAAATGAATCACACTGAATAGAAACTCACCTATTATTTTTTAAAATATGTTTGTATGTGTCAGTAGCAATTCTGGGCTGGTTTTCCCCCCATTTGTGTCTCTGTTACTTTTCTCTCCTAATGCTGATTTATTTCATTATAGATGGAAAATATTTGAATAAGCATACAAAACAGTAAAAAACCTGGGCTTTAACGGTTGTTGTCAGAATAAAACACTCAAAACAGTAAGGGGATTGGTGGGGACTTTTTATAATACAAGTCGTGCAGCGAAAAGTGACGCTGCCGAAAGTGCAAATGAAGGTCTCAGAAGATGTGGTCAAATTCAATTTGAGGTTAATTTTTCAAATCTTGTAGACTTCTTCCCAGATAAATCATGGATTGACTTAAACTTTCTTTTTTCTTTGTTTTCTCTCAGGTAACTTCTGACTGACTTTCCCCAAGAGCAAATTCCTCCAAATTCGACAGAAATATTTCCACTGGCCTGTGTCTGTAAGGGAAAAAAAAAAGAGAGTGAGAGAGAGAGGATAAGAAAAGAACCCGAATACATAGAGCTTTTTAATAGCACTAACCAATGCCTTTTTTAGATGTATTTTTGATGTATATATCTATTATTAAAAAAAATGATGTTTATTTTGAGTCTGAGGACTTAAAAGTAGTCTTTTTTAAATGTCCAGCAGAACCCTTCACATGAAGCTGAGCTTTTGTTGCTAGGCACAGTGTACTGGAAAGAGAGCAGCACTTAGAGGAAGTCTTTGTCCCTTCCGCCCCCTGGTTTTTACCATGAATGGGTCAGGACTACCAGATAAATTTCCCAATTAAAGATTATTGTCACTTCACTGTATATAAGCAGATTTTTTTTTATACTTGTATTGAAAGAGGACACCTGTACATTCTTCCATCATCACTGTAAAGACAAATAAATGATTATATTCACAGACTGATTGGAATTCTTTCTGTTAAAGAGTAAATAACAGGAATAAGTAGCTTTTCACCCCTTCCCATTCCTGATTCACATTCAGCCTGGATCCTGGGGTCTTAGGTTTGAAATGGAGGCGGTGACAATAGTTCATACTTTGGCAAGACGCCCCTGGAGAGCCATCTGGAAAATTGTGCTGCTTTTGTACAAAGTTTTAAGCTGTTGTCTGGCCTGGACAGTCTGTTTCCTCTTACCTGTGACTAGTAGTACTTCTGGTAAACCCCAAACCAAAACCTGCTGCCTAAGAGTCTGTTGCGACTCACCTTAGCTCCCCAGTGGACTTCCCAGGGTAGACACCTTTAAGGGAGGAGACTGCTTCATTGTCTGCCAAGGAGCGTGGACTGAACCGCTCACTTCCCAGCTAGCAGCAGCCTGAGGTTCAACACGCTACTTCTGATAGTTCTTCTGCAGAAATTAAGTCTTTTTTATTTGCTTGGGTATGCATCAGCTACACAGGCACCTCTTGGATTCTCCCAGAAGTTTGTATTTCTAGTTTTCTTCTGCAGTACATTGTGCACTAGCTCCTTAGGGAGCTCTGGTGACGCAGTGGTCAGAAGCTGTGCTGCAATCCCCAAGGTTCCTGGTTTGAGCCCAGTAGCCACTCAGGAAGAAGGGTGGGCCGGCTCTCCCCATGGAATTTACAGCCTCTGAAAACTCACTGGAGGATCCGCTACGGGCTGGTTCCAACTTGAGGGCAAACAGCCACAACACTGTTCCTTAAAAGGAGCCCTGGTAGCACCTTAGTTAAGCGCTCGTCTGCTAACCAAAAGACCAGCGGTTTAAAACCACCAGCTGCTTCTCGGAAGATAGACGTAGCAGTCTGCTTCTGTCAAGTTGACAGCCCTGAAAAGCCTCTGGGGAACTTACGCTCAATCCTATTGTGTCCAAGAGTTGGAAATAAAAAAAAAAATTTTTTTTTAAAGTTGGAAATAGGCTCGGCAGCAGTGGGTTCGGGGCTGATAGGATCAAATTTACTACATTAACAGTCAAGGTCCGACTTTTTGCCTCTGAGAGAGGAGGCTTCGAGGCAGAGCTGCTAATTAATCAGGTTGTGTGACTTTGCTCCAGTCAGCTCCTGTACGCCAAAGTTTGAACTTTACCATTCATGTTGGGTATCAAAAGTATAACTTCCATTACTGCTTAAATATCTTGCTGTTGAATTACTAAAACTGGAACAACATTGTTAAATGAGGTGGGGTTTTTAAAATCAGAATATATTTAATCTGACGCACAGGAAGAAGGAGGTAGTTATAATAGCATGCTTTGAGGAATACAGCACAAATAAGGAATTTCTATCAGAAGGACTTATGCCCTTCACATTACCTCTTGAGTGTTTCTTTTTCTTAAATTAGACCCAGATACGATGTGGTCAGAGAGGTGATCAATTCCACATAAATGTTGCCTGTTTGTGCTACCTCTAATACCCTTCCAGTCCCCAAGAAAGGGAAGGAGGAGGGAGTTTAAACTCTACGCCTGGCTGGGTTTGGGCTGCTGTGGTTGTACCAACCCCTTCTCAGCATTTGTGATTGATTTTCAACGTTGGTCCCTGGGCTGTAGACCATCAATCTCCTTGGTACAGCCCTGCTGGCAAAGGGACAGGGACATTGACACGCTCTGGGGAAGACTGTTGGTACCATCAGAACACCCCAACTGGAGTGAGGTCGGGCATAGTCTTAATTTATTTTTAAGAGCTGGTGTGAAAACTTAGAATGGATTTTCCAAAGACTTTTGTTTATCCTCCCCAAGTCCTGACTCTTCATTTATAATCAGACTTGGGATGACTTCACCTTCGGGGTCATATTTTGTTCGTCCAGAGCAATCCCACCAAGATGTTCTTGCCAGCAGCTTTTGTGAAAACAAAAACACATTGTACAAAGCTATGATTCTTCCCCCCTCCTTTCCTTGGCTCAGGTGGAGAGCAAAGTATGAAAGCCATTACCATGTGGTGTCGAACTGGGACCATTCCATAACCCAGAGTGCTCCCAATACACCCTAGGGCAATGTATCCCAAAAGAAATCCATCATCTGATCCCCACAAACCTCCCTCCATCTCCCATCTCTGACTCAGGTCCAAACCAACCACCATCTAACCCAGGTGGCTGATGCAGGAGCCCAGGAGTCATCCCAGACGCTTCCTCCAACAATTCCATCCATCCTGGTAGCACCGTTAACCAACCACATGACGTCTGTCTTCTCCATTCCCATGACGACTGTCCCTTGAGTGAGCCTCGTTTCGTCTCAGGATTTGCAGTGGATTCTTCTCGGGGTTCCCCTTTCCTCCCTGCCCTGTCCTTCCCTTCACTGGTCTTCTCCAGCCCCCTCTCCACTCCGTCATATAGTCATCAGAGTGGTTCTGAAATGCACATGTGATCTTCACCTTAACCTGCTCACCATCCTTCACTCATCTCCTATGCAGTTTAGGATTCTAAATTGCTGAGAATAAGAAATTGGGGGTACAGAGAACCTGGTTGGAAATCCTGGGTTTGCCCTTT